ATTACAACGCTGCCCGTCCATCTTAATATTAAGTACAGCAGCCGAGTAACAAAGGTACTACTTCTACCCACTGCCACCTACACGCAATTTTTATATATATTATTTATTATATATTTTATTATATATGCGCGGTACTTATTGGAAAGCGCCCAATATCATTGATAGAGCTAACACATTTAGTTGGATTGATGTGAATTTGTGACACTTGATTTTACGCTATTTGCGATCGTCAGGCAACTTTGTCACACACTGACATCAGTCCAACTAAATTGTACGCTCCGGCCTTCTTCAGGTGGTTGGAATGTCAAACTGAACCCTTTATTTCGCTCACTGGAGCAGACTGTTCTAGTTCCACGTGCTATGTATTAATGGATGTCCGTTATCAGTTATCTGCTGTTAATTACCCTCTGAAAGTTCTCCACTGCCTTAACCGGGTATTGAACTCACACTCTTTGTGTCTTTCAGAAGGAAATTAACAGGAGATAACTGACATCCATCTTGTTTTATTTTTGCTAGCCACAGATGACAGCCGTTTGAAGATCAAACTCATCCGACTCTCGTGTCAGCCATTACTTCATAGAAATGCAAATAATTTCCCTTGTTTCTTTACTCTTGATTTTGACTGAGTCAAATAACAATAATTATTCGAAATGAAATTTCGTTGCACTTGACCTCCCACTCCCGAATCTCTAACTCTGGAGCGAAACTTGCAAATATTCATATTCATATTCATTTTTTTTTTTTTGTTTTGTTTGTTTCTTGTCTATTTATGTTGGCGGGAGAAGATTAAAATAAAAAAGAACGTACAAATATATGATAACATGTCCGTTGATCATGCCCTGACCTCTGGCTTCTACTTTGATCACGAAACTGAACCTGTTTTTGTTCACGTCCACCACCTTTTTCTAATTTAATTCATTTCGGTGTTTAAATGAATATGCATTTTTATCGTCCTTTGTTCTTTTGAGCGCAATTTCTTTTCAAATAAACCTTTCCAAACACACACAATTACATATATATATATATATATATATATATATATATATATAGTAAAATCGAGATCATGAACCCGAGCGATTCGGACGTTGAATAATAATGCATAACTGCCACAGTCGAGTAATCAAATAAACGTTCGTCATTTAAGCAATGGAGTATATATCCTGTTACAGAAATGCAAAAAGAAAGCAAAAAAAAAAAAAGAAAAAAAAAAGCTCAATGGAGAATGATTCATGTTTGAGTAATGGTTAATAAGCTACAGTATTGAGTTGTTGTTTTTTTTAAGTTCCCAATATTAACAGCCTTTTACCAAGCTAAACTGAAGCTATTTCATAAAGGGCGCCTTTTGGTTAAGCAACATTTGTCCTGGCATTTTCTTTCACCCTCTCAAATCTTCTTTCAATTCCCTCTTTTTCTCTCTCATGCAATCACTCTCTCTCTCTCTCTCTCTCTCTCTCTCTATCTATCTATCTATCTATCTATTAGGTTGGTGCAAAAATAATGACGTAAGAATGTCGTTTTTTGACGTTGAAAAGTACGTCAAAAAACGACATTATTACGTCATTAGTTTTGCACCAACCTAATATCTCTCTCTCTCTCCCCTCTCTTTCTCTCTGTTATTTTTTTTTGGTTTCTTTCTTTTCTCTTACTCTCTCATAAACTTCCTTCAATCCCTTCTTTTTTTACTCCCCCTCTCTCTTTCAGGCTTTCTACGAATTCTTTCTCTTTCTCTCGCAGTCTTACTCTTTCTTTAACTCTTCTCTCTTTCTCTCGCAGTCTCTCTCTCTCTCTCTCCCTTCCTCTTTTGCTTTGTTCGATCTTTTCTTTCTTTATCGTTCTAACGTTCTCTCTCTCTTTCCGTCTCTCTTTCTCAATCTTTCTTTCAGTACGTTCTTTACTTCTCTCTCTCTCTCTCCTTCTCTCATGCATTCTTCCAGTATTCTCTTTTTTTCTCTCTATCAGTTTTCTTTAACTTCTCCCTCTCTCTCTCTCTCTCTCTCAATATTTCTTCTATTCTGTCCTTCTTTTTCTTCCCCTCTTTTACTCTACCATTGTCTTTTCTTTTCTTTTCTTTTCTTTCCTTTTTTTTTCTTTTCTTTTTCGTATCATTTTTTTTTTTTTTTGACGGTCAGCATTGAACTTTGACCTCATGCCGCCTGGAGATTTGACAGGAGTGATAAACCTTCTGACGATCCAGACAAGACTCATTCACATACACGCACTGGCGCGAACGCACACACAACCAGAGAACGATAGTAAAGCCAAGATAAAGACATGGTGGAGGCGTGGAAAGATGTCGTCAAAACGAAGACGTCTGTTTCCTAAGTGGTACGAGTTTAAGAGTTACTGTACTGAATGGGAAATCGATCACTGATTACTGAACGCTAACAGATCTATAATCAACGAATCAGCGCTCAGGCGGTGTGGGACGATGATGCCTGTAGACTGGAGTTGGGTGGACAGTGAAGCGATTTTGACAGTCAGGGTGTGGGAGGGCTTAGTGGTAGACAAACGAATGAACACTGGCAAGGTTTCTTGTATATGTCATTGGATACGAATATATATATTTACGTAGGTCAGTATACGACGTTTCCTAAACTTGTGGCCTATGGTGTAGAAAGCAGGCATAGAAAATGCTAAATTTTATAGACTGCACGCTTATGTGACACTATTAAAGGACATAAGATAACTTCTACTTTCCTGGGCTGACGATAAACAACATCCGGCAGCAAGGCTTCTGATTGAGAGGTTTTAAGAAACGTGGAATCACCTCTTAATTGCTGTTGTTCCAAGATCCACTTTGAACCGAGGAGGTAGCACTTGCTAAGGGCCCAGCTATGGGCAAATAGTTTATACCCAAACTGGGGTCAAAATACTATGAATGTACATTTTCATAGTAAAAATATTACCAGCAATATTTTTT